TCCCTAAGGTGGAGTGTCCCTGTGTCTCTGGTGCTGCTTCCCTTCCTCTGGGAAGGAAGGCCCCATGCAAGTGCGGCCCTGCAGCTGGGGTGCTGCTCTCTGGAGTGGGAATCCAGCCCCTGGCATGGACTTTACAAGTAATTATGGTTCAGACCTTGTGATTTCCAGTTCTTAGGATAATAGCATCGACCAGAAGAATTCACGTGAAGTCTGGATGTTTCCTAGTAACCAGCCTGCCCCACAGTCATTCCCTCTGGATAGACACCGAACTGTTCACAGACTCTATCTACACTTACCCATGGGAAACAAGATGAAAATTCATTTACTCTGTGTTATCAGTAATACCATTTTCATACACAAAGGACAGGACCTGTCTGTTTGGCCTACCTACCTTGCAGAGTCAAATTGTTTCCAATTTAAAAATTTTCCTTTTGCTGAAATTATTCTCACCAGAATCACTTCTCGTGTAAGATTTTCAATGAAGTTTTGTTGTTCAAGTTTTTTGTTCTTAACAAATTATAGCATCTGCAATTAGATATTTACTTTATGGACATTATCTCTACCAAGTCCAATTATCTAAATCAAATTTTGCAAATAGAAATTCGATCACAGAATTTGCTTCTGTCAGTTTTTCGTCAATAACACATTTTTCTATGAGCGATTTTTGTTTGGTTTGGTTATACTTAACCACCTTAATATTCATTATAAAGTAGATAAAACATCCTGCCTTTACTTTTTAGCTAATTCATGAGAAAATGGTAAGCGGTTTCAGAACTGCTATACTGTGAAGGACTGGGCTGCTTACTGAATTGCCCATCCAAGTCTTCTGAATATGTCCTGTCACTCTGGGTGCTGTGTTAGTTGGCAGAGCAAAGAACAGGCGGCAAGGCCAAGATGCTTTGCTTTGCTCCAAATGCATTGGTGTTTTGAAAAGAGGCGGGGGCATTTTAATTTAAACAGCTTTCTGGTCTTTACTCTTTGATTTTTTTCCTGTCTTTTCTCTCTCCCTTCTCTAAAGGTTTCATCCTTTTCAATTTCTCTGACTCATCATTTAATTCTCCTGCCCGTGTCTACCCCACATCTCTCTTGCCCCATTCCTCTTTCTGCCAGCTTTGGCCTTTCCTACTCTCCCACTCTTTCTGGTCTCACTCACTGTCCCAGACCCTCTCCTCTGAGGCATGGGGCTGTATTTTCCCTTCTCAGTTGCTTTCTTCTGCTGCCCCACCCCCACCTCCTTCCAAGAGTCCCTTATTTGAGCCCTCAGTGTCATAACTCTAAAGGCTCAGAGAGAAACTTGTGCCCCTTCTGCTCAGCATCTCTCTGGGACCAAGTAACCAAGAGAAGTTGTGAACTGGTGCTCCTTATATGGCTTTAAAAGCAGCGCTGAGGGTGGCCCCCTCACGTGGGCTTGACTTTATGGAATCTGTCTGAAGACAGAGGGATCGATGATGTGATCTCAGGAGGGCCCCGCCAGATTAAGGAACCTGGAAGCCTCATCTCAGGCATCAATGTATATTTGTTGGACACCCCCTGGGTACTTGGAGCTGTACTAAATGATTTCATCCTTTAAGCCCTGAAATCCAGGTTCTGCCTTTTTAGCAGCTGTTTAAAATACTGTAATATTGGGCTGATTTTTTACAAACTTTTGTTATTCTATTGTTTACTATAAACCATGTTTTTAAAATTAAAAGTTAGAGGGTTAGTAATGACATTGGTGACTGTCCTTCATTTCTTTTAGCATAAAATCCTATAGATTACCATGGCATACAGAGTCTTCTCCAGCTAGTGTGAGATCAGAGGGCATCCTGAGAAGTGGGTAGTATAATATTCATGGGGTCTATGTCTTATAGGCACTGGAGCTAGAAAGGGTGGAGTTGTGGGGACAGAGATGGAGAGAAAAAATGTGTGTGTGAGAAAGTGCTTGGGAATAGTTTCTTTCATTTAATCAAATATTTATTAAGTGCCTACTCTATGCAGGTAATTTTCTAGATGCTGAAGACACAGCAGTGAAAAAATATACTAAAAATCCCTACATCATGAAGCCTATATTCTAGTAGGAAGAAACAGCCAATAAAATAAATGAATAAAGTTGGTGACATGTACTATATATTTTTTGATTAAAGTATCACTGATATACAGTCTTATGAAGGTGTTACAAGAAAAACCATATGGTTATTACATGCACCCTTATTATCGAGTCCCCCCCCATGCCCCATTCAGTCACTGTCCATCAGTGTAGTAAGGTGTCACAGAGTCCCTATGTGTCTTCTCTGAGCTACACCGTCTTCCCCGTGACCCCACGCACACTCATGTACTGTATTATAGCAACAAATAAAACAGAGAAGGGCGGTAAGGAGTACTGGGGGTTTTAATTTTAAAAGAATGATCAGGGAAGGACTCACTGATGAAGTAAAGACCTGAAGGAGATAAGGAATGAGCTGGTGCAAAAATCTACTCCAAATAGAATAATCTCGAGGAGGGGCAGAGAACAGAGATGGGAAGCACAGGAGCAGGGACACCAGTTCAGAGAAAATGTCGATGCACTAGGTGAAGATAATGGTGGCTTGGACTAACGGGATGCTGAGGAGATGGTGAGAGGGGGTCAGGCTCCGGGTGGACTTTAAAGGCAGCAGCACTATCAGGATTTGCTGGTGGATTGGGCACCGGTTATGAGAGAGGAGAGTGAAGGTTTGATTTGAATAACAGGGAGGATGGTGTTGCCATTAACCGAGATGTGAATTTGCATGGGTACAGATGGGGACAAGCCAGTTTGGGGGAAAGATGGGGAATTCAACTTGGAACACATTAGGTTTGGGTTCTGTAGAAGTGGAAAATAGTGTGGGGAAGAGCTCTTAATGAAATGAAGGAGGAAACCAAAGATGTGAATATTGCAGAAAGCAAAATGTATTTGCCTAGGAATGAGATGAGGGAGAAAGCATGGGTGATGAGAGGTGAGTATTGTGAGGGATGCATTATCTGTGGACAGTATATTTAGACAGTACAGGAAGCTGGGCACTAGCAAAGCCTGGGCAAGCTGTTAAAGAGAGAATGAAGACAACTTACTGGCAGGAAGCGGTGAATGAGAGGAGCACAGGGAGGCTCGGCGAGCCTAAGCTAGGGCTCACGTGGGTTTTGAGAAGGGTAGATAAAGAATGGAGCACTCAGGAAAAAAAGGCTGGGTCCATGGGACAAAAATGCCCTTGAGGTGTGAATAAGCTGAGTAGAGGGAGGTGGGTGATCTGGACATGGAGAATTCTGGTCTCTAGGGAGAATGTAAACGTGGCTCTGGAAAAAGAACAGGTGTAGATTTCATCAGTGAGGGGAAAGGACAATTCTGTTGATGGGGAAGGGGGTTGATAGTTACTGGGCTGGTCCTGGAGGCCCTGTGAAGTTCCTTCTGACAGGTGGCAAGGGGTTAGAGAAGACTGTCAGGTAAGCTCTGGGCACTGGAAGGTGCTCTAGCCACATATGCCCACCTTGTTTTCTTACAGAGTACTTCACCGTTCCCTAAAGCTATTTTACTTCAGGTTATATTCTCAACCTCGGAGTGGGCTCATAGGTGCACATGTGATCTGTGGCAAATACAGACAGATGCACTCCTACATTTACGTAGCCCTCCCCCCTTTACACAGTGAACTCTGTTGGTAAAGAACTGACTGTGCAGTTTACAGATTATCCATTTTCTCTTGTTTCTTTCCTATTGGTTAGTTTTCTTTGGGCTTTTTGTTGTTTCACTGCTTATTGGTCCTTTGGGCAGAAAACAAGGGAGTTTGTAAACCCCAAACACTGAAAACATTTATAACTCATTATTTGCAGTTCTGGCAACACCATCAGTGGATAAAAAGATTAAAACCAACGGTTGAATTAAATTTTAGAATTATGTGCTGATTAAAATGTTTACATAGTTGCAATTACAAATAATCAAGAATCTATTAAGTGAGTCAAAATTTATTTTTTACCGTTTTCCTCTCTATATTCTCTCTTGCTGCGCTTCTGTTTCTTCCTCCTCCTCCTCCCATATTCCCTCCAGTTCTCACAGCTGACATCAAGCTCAGGGTCCTCAGGATTCTGAACTGGGGCAGAAAGCAGCTGTTTGTGCTGCTCACGCAACTTTGGGAGGGAGGAAAGGTGGGAAAGAGATGATGTCATTTTAAAATCAAGGAGGAAAGAAGTATTGAAAGATGATGAGGGGGGCTAAGTAGCTGGAAGAAAAATCTGGCCACAGATACAATGACTTGTGTCTGGGGGAGCTTCCCGTCCTGGGCTGGATGGTCTGGGTGAGGAGAATTGGGGACGGGGGTGTTGATGGCAAATCTGATGACTCTTAAGTTTCCATCTGGAAATAAGAGTCTAGGATTCTAAATGTAGGGAAGAGGGACAAAGAGGAGATGAAATAGGTGTTAACACATAGGTTTTCCCATTGGGCCAGGTGAGGATTCCTAGGAAAAGAACAGAGGCCTGCAGTCGTGATCTCCCCTCTACCCTGCGGAAGTAAATCCTCTCACATTGCTCACTCCTGCCTGCTGTGACTGAAGGGCTCCTAAGCCAGGTCCCACATCGCTTGCTTCTGGGTCCTGAGGTTGTGGGGTCTGGATTTGGGGCTGGTGAATGAGTGCAGAACCCTCTGTCTGGCTCTGGAGAAAGCTGAGACAGTAGTGGGTAGGGAGAACGAGGTCGGATGGGGGGAAAGTTGAGGGGTCACGGTCCTGGAAATGGTGTTCTTTGATATACATGTATTGCTTTCCCACTTTGCCGTAATGAAATCTGTGCTGGTTAATACCTTTCTTCCCGTTTGTCTTCCCTGAACCTCTTCCCCCACCATCCCCCGACCCTGCCCTGGATGTGCCATCCTTGTCCCCCCTCCTCCCCACCTCATCTCCACGTCCGGTCTTCCTGCTGTGGTTCTGCCCGTGCCTGGCCATGGTCCCGTGTGCCTCCTCCAACCTGTCTGCCTTTCCTTGCTCTCTCCCTCCCTGTCCATTGGTCCTCACTCCCCACAGCAGAGGGGAAAGTGTACAGCTCAGATGAGGAGAAGCTGGAGGCACCAGCAGGAGACCCCGCAGGCAGCGAACAGGAGGAGGAGGGCTCAGGCGGTGACAGCGAGGACGACGGTTTCTTGGACAGTTCAGCAGGGGGCCCTGGGGCTCTCCTGGGACCTAAACCGAAGCTTAAGGGAAGCCTGGGGACTGGAGCTGAGGAGGGGGCGCCAGCGGCAGCAGGAGTCACAGCTCCTGGGGGCAAAAGCCGAAGGCGACGCACAGCCTTTACCAGCGAGCAGCTTTTGGAATTGGAGAAGGAGTTTCATTGCAAGAAATACCTGAGCTTGACAGAGCGCTCCCAGATCGCCCATGCTCTCAAGCTCAGTGAGGTGCAGGTCAAGATCTGGTTTCAGAACCGGCGGGCCAAGTGGAAGCGCATCAAAGCTGGCAACGTGAGCAGCCGCTCTGGGGAGCCTGTAAGAAACCCGAAGATCGTTGTGCCCATACCTGTGCACGTCAACAGGTTTGCCGTGAGGAGCCAGCACCAACAAATGGAACAGGGCGCCCGGCCCTGAAGGGGCTTCCGAGGACCTTGGAAGGCGAAGGATCCGTTCCTGAGCCTGTTGGGAGACTGCGTTAGGGTTCTGTGGGCCAGAGGGGTTGTGATCCTGCCCAGGAGGGGCTCGGGCGGGGGCAGCTACCTCAGTGTAGGTGCTGTACTGGCAACCTGAGACGGAGCCTCTGCCAGAGATCCTCAGGCCTGGGGCCTCCAGGGTTGGAGGGCTTGGTTCTCACTGCTAAGGAGCTGTTGGGACTGATGGGGTCTCTGGGGGAGGGGTGGGTTCTAAAATGGCCTGGGGCCTGCAACGTTCCTGGCTAATGACCTGAAATCACTAATGACAGGGGTGGGAGGAATCCGAGTGAGGCCTAGCCAAGCTGATCAAGCTCCTTATTTATTTTGTGTAAAGTTTGTACATATGGAGCTATCTGCCTGTCTGTCTGCACCCTTCAGAGGGATTGGAGGAAGTTCTGCGTTTCCTCCATCTTCAGCCAGAGTTCAGCCCTACCTTACTGCCTTGGGGTGGGTACCATCTTGCCTGCCTATAGTGCAAGGACATGCAAAGAACCAGAATAGGACTGTCACTAGCCTCCTAAGCAACGTCAGCACTCTGTCCCTTCCCATGTGACCTACCTCCACCTCTGTCCTTTCCCACTCCGGGCTCTGTCCACTGCTCGCCCCTCTAGACTTCACGCTCCTAATGTGGCACTTCTTTTCTCTTTACCCAATAAACAGGTAAGCTTCCTCATCTCTGTGCCCTCTTTGGACGAGTTGGCAGATAGGCTAGAGGATTTGCTCCCTTTTGTAGTTTGAGGGGAAATGAAGTACTTGACCCTGGTTCAGCTGGGGTATATCTAGGCCCTGTGTAACTAGACACGTTACCAGTCCTGTCACTGATTAGAACAGGCTGGGGGCTCACCCCTCTCATGTATGAGCTCATTAATCTTTTTCTACAGAGAGGACACAGTAGCTTAGTCCATCTCTGCCACCCTTTGATATTCCAGACATGAGGAGGGCCTGGAGTTAAAAGACTCATTTCCAGTTCTGTTTTTGCAGCGTTAATTGTGGCCTCTTCTCCCCATTGCACCATTTATAAAGCTTGAGATTATCAAATCCTCTTCTATTATAAAATGAGATCTCTTGAGAAGGACCACTGCAAACTGGATAAGGCAGGAATCAATCTGTGATGGTTCTAGAAGGGTGTGGACTGTGGGGGAAACTATGGAAATAGGCATCAAAGGCTTTGGGGTTGGAATTCTATGAGCAAATTAAGGAACAGCGTCAGTAGACAAAGTAAACATAGGGAGTGGAGGCTTCAGGGAACTTGGGAGAGACACAGTATAGTGAGAGGGAAACAAGACAAATCAAAACTGCCATTTCCCCCCGTCATAGAAAGGCTATACTCTCCTGTATGGACCATGCAGCAGGGCTGAGCAGACACTGGGAATAAGGGTTATTACAGAAGCCAGCTGCAGTTGGGACCATGGTAAACAAGCTTCTTGGGAAGAAACTTGACCTGCATTGATCTGGGAGGAGAGCTAGACTAGGGAAGAGAGCCATAAGGAAGAAAAACAGGCTGTGAGTGAGGTCTGGAAACTCAGATTAAAGGTCATGGAGGGGAGAGAAGTACAGCTTATCAATTACCTGGCCAGCCTCCTTACCCTGCCTTAGGGTATCCTGCTATTGCCGATTCCTAGAATAGCAAACCAGCCAGTGTCTGTTCAAACGCCTACTGCCTGCGCCTTTTCTGACAAGGCTGAGCCTTTCCTTAGCAGTTCCTCTCTCCCAGCTGGCTGTGGCAGCCTGGGGCCGACTGGTCATTGACAGCGGGGCCACAGTACCCCAGCTCGGACACCTGGATCCAGGGCAGGTCTTCTCCATTCTCTGGCTGTATGTCAGCAAGGCTTGAGACTCAGGCTAAAAAATGTGTGGTCCAGACCAGCCCCATCCCTGATCTGGGTCAAGGCCATCTCCGATACCTTAGACTCATCCACGCAGGGAACCTACAGGGCTAGATTCTTTTTAGGAGAGAAGCCGGGTAGATGCAGCTCTCAGGAGCTGTTGTCATTTTGGCTGTGGAGAATCCCTGTCTGCAGGCAGAGGGCTGGGAGAGAGGCTCTCTAGCTCTTGCGCCCCTGGGGGAGGTGGGCACCCAGGCAGGATAGTGCTCTGAAACCAAGGCCCAGATTCGCTGTTTTTTCTGGATTTGCCTGTTAAGTCTCCATACTATACCAGGCATTAATCCAGCCACTCAGGCAGCTTTCTGTCCTTAGGGAATGGTGGTGATTGCTGGTATTTTCTGAGCCTGAGAACCTGTTCTTACACATACCCATGGCCCTGTCTCTGTCTACTTTTATCTTTGCTTGAGGCTCTTAGCCTTGCAGAAAGGGGCTGTGGACAAGAAAATAAATCTGGTTTCCTTCCCAAATATTGTTACCTGGTTATTTAACTATACATAGGCAGGTACCAATGCACGGAGCACCAGCCTAGCACACCCAGTGTACACTCAAAGTGTTGTGGACAAGGGCCACCAGCGAAGTGGTTCCAGGAATGGGGAAGTAATAGACCCCTACAGAGCAGGGGCCCTAACTTACCAAGTTTTTATCCTTCAAGAACCAGTATAGAAGGGTTTCCCCCAAGTCTTTCTAGAATAACTCAGGGATAGTAGATGGAAAAGCAGGGGCTCTGGATTCTACCCCCAGCTTGGCAAGATGTTGGTAGGAGTCAGGGTGGCTGTCCTGCCATCAGTGACCTACCTCTTTCCTTTTAATCAAAAGCAGAATTTAGGAATAAGTACCGAGAGCCTGCTGCCCTAATAAAACATCTGGCTGCTTATTTGGGGGCAGCTTCAGAATTCTCCTGTGCCTTGATTCAAAAATCTCTGTCCACATCTGGCTGTGTGGGCTAGTCCCTAGACTCTTAGGGAGGGGGACAATGTTTACGCCCTCTCTTTGGGTGGACTTTGGCCAGTGTAGGGCATGAGGCGGCTGGATAGAATGCTGATGAGAACAAGGAGACCGGCTGGAAAAGCTCTGTGGGGGTGGGAGGTGGGAGCGTGGAAGGCAGCAGAAGCTTCCAGTAGGAAGCAAAGAGCCCCAGTTCTCCTATCAGGGTTCACTGCCTGTGCTGCTGACACACTCAACCACATCCCCAGCAATGAAGGGCTGGGCTGAGAGATGCACACAGGAGGCTTAAGGGAAGACAGCCTGGGCCTCAGGCTAGCCGACAGAGGAGAAAAGCTAGAGCACAGACAGCAGACATAAGAAGAGAGCAATAAAGAAACAGAGATGGGGGCATTTCTGGAAAGGCAGAGATTGAAAAGGGGAAACCAAGCCACACACACAGTCTGTTTATTGGCTCATCATACACGCACACCAAATATGTACACAAACATAAATATTCCAATGTACAGATTTACATGGGACTCCCAGATCACACATTTGTCCTGTTCATCCAGCACCCCACAACCTGTGCCCTATCCAGGTTCCATTTTCGGATGAAGGCTTGCAGGGGGCTGGCACTACAAGGTAGGAATCTGGAGGAGGGAGAGGTCCGGCTCCCCTCTCCTCACAGGTGTCTCCAAAGGGTCCTGTCCCTTTTCAACAGCACCAGAGGGCAGAGGGCTGAATACCTCCACTCCCTTCCTGCTGTAGTTCAAATCCCAGATGTGTCTTCTCCCCCACTTAGCTATTCTCCTCTTTGACTCCCTAATTCCCTCCCCTCCTCCTCTTCTGCACATCCCTGTTTCCCAGTCTCTGTGTCTTTGTTTCCACCAGAGCTTATAGGGAGGAAGGTTCCCCAGGCCACAGAATCTTTCTGGTCTCTCTTCCTCTTCCCGGGCCTTATAGGAGGCTAGGACTCCGGTGCAGCTCAGCAGAGGTGTTGGTGCCATTGGCAGGCTCTCTGCTGGGGGCAGGAGCTAAGCCACAGCCCTCCCCAGGGCAGCCATGCTGGATCAAGATGTCTGCACACTCCTGGCTCCCAGCCCGACGAGCATAGGCCAGTGGAGTCAGGCCCCTGGCATCCCTGCTCCTCACGTCCACCCCGTACTGCAAAAGAAAGCACATGTTCACAGTTGGTATGTCATGGCAGGAAAGGTATGGGTTCTTAGGGAGAAAATGGAGAGGTGGCTTTCAAAGGGCTGGGATAAAGAGGGTGTCGGGAGGTCAGAGGCACCAGCCAGGGTGGTGCTGGGAAGGCAAGGAAGGGGTCCACAACTCACCCAGATGAGCAGCTGTGTGAAGACCACATTGGCCATAGCACTGGAGAGGTGCAGAGCTGTCCGCCCGTCCCCGTCCCCGTAGGTCTCATTCACCTCCTCCTTGGACCCGTGTGCCAGAAGCATTACCAGCAGCCGCAGGTCGTCCTCCACCACAGCCCGGAGCAGCTGCTGCCCCAGCGGCACATCCGAGCTCGGCAGCGGGGCCAGGAAGAGCTTCTGTTCGTACTTGGCCCGGACCCAGCGCTCCTTCTCCTCTCTGTAAGCACAGGCCCGGCAGGGCGTGAGCACGGGGAGGGGGTCGCCAGGCCAGCAGGCGGGGCCAAGGGAATGGTTAGGAAATGACACGAGCACCCCAACGGGAATAAGGGAGAGAGAGAATGTGTCCCTCGGAGCAGCAGAGACAGAATTGGGAAATCAAGGACATGCAGAGGGGCAGTGGGCAACGCAAAGGGTGTGGAAGAAGCAGAAAGGCAGGAACACTAAAGGGAGAGCCCTAGGGGACAGCAGGGACGTGGGGGGCTGAGAGGGCAGGAAGATTCCAGGCAGGCCTCCTGTGGCACCTTATCTGGCCCTGCTGGAACAAAGGGGAGGGCCTGCACTGGGGGCCCACACACTACCCTATCTGCCACCCTTTCTCCCCATCTCAGAGCTCAGGATAGGGCCTTCGCATCACAGAGCGATAGGGCCTTGCGCATGCGCCTCCTGCTGGCCCCCTGACCTGCAGATAACAGCTCAGAAAAGGCCTGTTGTTGTGAGGCGCCTGAGTGACAGGTAGGGGGGAGGGGCACCCCAAGGGGCCAGCTGCCAACAGCCAGTTTTAACCCTTCTAGCATTGTCACAACCACTAGCATCATCCCGACCTTCCCCATACCAGAGCACCGATGTCCCCTTCCTTCCTGGCCAGCTTCAGGGCCCCATCCACTCACCTGCAGGCATCAGGCCCTGGCTTTGCATAGCCATCCAGGGCCCCCTCCCAGACACTGTTGGCCAGAGCATTGCCCATCGCGGTCATGACAGCCAGCAGCTCAGGTGGCCAGTCATCAAGGTCCAGGGAGCGGACCCGGGACAGGTGGGCCCCCAGATGTCGGTGGGTCCCTGAGCACTCAATGCACATCAGGGCGCCTAGGTTCAGGCTGGCCCAGTCTGGATCTGGGTGAGGAGAGAAGGCATCATGAAGCCCACAGACAACCAGAGTGAGACCACCAGGAAAGTCCTCCATGCCCTTTCTTAGCCTACTGGAAGCCTCTCGCAGAGCTTCCTCTAAGCTGCCCCCGCCCCAGGCCCACTGGCCCTGGCACTCACTGGGGGCGTCGCAGTCAATGCAGAAGCTGTTGCCGCGGACTGTACGGACGGCCTGCACAGCCAGAGCTGCATTCTGATTCCCCAGTCGAGTCTGCCGCAACAGGAGACGCAAGGGGTGGCTGGTCAGTCACGAGCCACCCTCGGGTCCCACCCCACTCTGGCCCCTGTGCCGACCTTGTCTTTAGAGCTGCGGCAGCCCTGCAGGCTGGCAAGGATCTGGGCCTGCACGCTTTGTACCCACAGCTCTCGCTCCTCTGCTGTTGAGGCTTCGAAGTGCCACGTCTGCCCGGTGAGGGACACCACCACAAACTCAAAGGACTCTTCTGCCTCTGTGGGGGACAGGGGCATTTACCACCATCAGGGCAGAGCGCCTTGTCAGCACTGCCTTCCTGGCTCTCATCCCCCTCCCCCGACCCCAGCCTCAAGGGCCATGCTTTCCAAGGCAACTTGAAAGAGGAGAGCCAGCCGTATGGAGCCCTCAAGCCTCCTTTCCTAACCACCTGTGGAGCCTGGGTGAAAAAAGACAGGGTACGAGGTTTTATCATCCCTGGTACTGCCAGAATAGATCTGGAAATTAGGGGTGCTTCCTGGAGAAAGAAGGGCTGTGTGTCTGGGGAAGGATGTGATGGGCTGCTAGGAGGCAGTGCTGGGAGATGGTGGGGGAAGGCGGGCGTGGGCACCATCCGTACATGTCAGCTGCAGCCGCCTCATTTTGCAGCTCATTAAACCCAATATTCCTGACTGCGTCAGCGTCAGCGTGGGGCTCCTGGGAGCTGGGCCCCTCCCCCACTACCCAGGCACAGACAGGCAGTAAGGGCAAGTGGATAGGGAGAGGGGAGGTTTTCTCCACCAGCCACCATGTGTGAGCAGACAAGGACCTGAGGACATCTAAAGTGACAAGCCCTGTGAGCTGGACTGTGACCCTAAGCAATGTGATGAAGCTGTTCCAAGCTCTGCTCCCCCAAGTCCCCAAAAGACAGCCACATGACTCTCATTCCCAGTGGTCACCACCCCATGGGTGAGTAATTCCTAACAAGCAGTGTGACTGTTGTGGGGCTGGAGAGACAGCTCAGATACATGGGAAGGCCCAAGGATTAGCCAGAGGCCAGGCCCGAGTCATCTTAACTCATGACACTAACATCCCCTGGAAGTCCTCCTGCTGGGCTCCTGCTCTCCGGGCACTCTTAACAGAACTGCCTTCTAGGAAAAGAGTACTGGTACCTTTTCTTCCCCCAGGTCCCACCATTTCACTTCACTGTGCTTTCCACATAGGCTTTGAACTACATAATCTCAATCATTTTGGGGAATCTGTTCCCTGATGCAGGTGGACCCCATGCCACAAATGCTGCCCATCGCTGTTACAGGTTGGCTGGGAAAGGGGCCTCTTTCCCGTAGAGGTGATGTCCACTCAGTTACCCATACCCCTAGCCCTGACAATCAGAGCAGAAATGAGAAACTATGCGTAAATATAAGGTAAACTTATTTGGGAGACAAAAAGACTCCAACCACTGAGAAGAGGGGCAACTGAAGATAATTTGGGGTAAACCAGGGAAACAGCACTATGATTAATAAAGAATTATAAGGAAGGTCCTATGGAAAAATGTTTGAGGAGCTAGAATTCCTTAGCCTAAAGATGACTAAGGAGAGACTTAGCCAATCCATACATGCGTATTAAGCACCTATTATGTGCTCAGCACTCATTAAACTCAATGGGTGATACAAGAGACACAGAAAACGTAGGTCCTGCCCACAAGTCTTGGAAGAGCTACTGGAATAGCAGCCTGCTATCTTGTTACCTTCTGTAAGAATAAAAGTAAACTCACATTTTAATAGAAAGGGTTTAAGTTAAGCAGAAGAAAGAGGTTTTCTAAGACACTCAGTTTAGATTACTAAAAAAAGTCACAGGAGTACTTTTATTAGAAATTATTAG